GGCGGCAATTTGGATAGTCTTCAAATGAATCATTTGGAAAAACTGGAGGAGGATCCCGCCGCCGTTCTTTGCCTTCAATTCCCACTATCAGGAGCTCAGCGGAATAGAACTCAGCTAGCTGCCATAGACCATCCATCAGAGGTGCCTATGAATGCCGTTCAAATGGGAGAAGGATGTTGGACTTACGAGGTACCCGTTTGCTTTTGGCAAAACAAGGAACCACAATACATACAAACTCGCTAATTACTCAAACTTCCCAACGGCAGGACCGATATGGGCCGTACTTCAATGTGACCAGCAACCACGTTTGGAGAACCAGCTGCTACAGCAATACGACTACGGCAGTCCTACTACGTTTAGGGCCACAAATCAGCTTCAGTCAAGACCTAGTGCTGCTTATCCGTAGCCTGCTGATTGAGTCACAATTTGAATGGGCCACTTTTTTGATGATTCATCTGGAGATGAATACCACGGCAAGACAGAGTTGGGTGCTTCAGAATGTGCCAGCAGAATTCCGCGAGTAAGTGCTCTATGTTACTGCCTTCGGCCTGCCGATGTCTCAAGATCTTCCTTTTTTGCAGAGTTACTCTTACCTTTAACACAACCGAAATTGCTCAAGGCTATCCAACCGGAGTCTTTGAAGATATTTTGAAGCACAATCACTTTTCGACGATGCATTTCTATAGAGAGCACCCGCAATTTCAATTTGTATGGACTGCAGAACAGGACGTGAGATATATTGGCCAATGGAACGATCTTTTCGGAAGAGCGATGGACTATGCTAATTCTGTATCAGCTGGAAGACCGGATTTAATCTCCTTTCAACAGATTTGTGTTCCGCCAGAAGGGTGGATGTGGTGGCCCTCATGCAAAGCTTGGTGGGGAAGGGAGGAGATGAGACTCACTTTAGGAGTTCTTTGGTAATTATTGTTATGACTTCAATTCGCAAAGAAGCGAATCCAGCACAAAGCATATATTTCAATTAGGGGCTGGTCTCGGCGTCTCCAGGAGGCACTCGTGGAGCATGCCCAGAAAAACATCAACTGCTATTTTGAAGTTTTCCCACCAACTGTCGCTCTGAATGCAAACTTAAACCTCGTTTATGTGCCTCATCAACTATATGTTTACGAACCTGGTGAATATCAAAAGAATGCCTGCTCAGCACAGGACATTGTTGATCCTACTGGTGGAACTTACTGGTGCTGCCATACTGTTGGTGGTAAGTATTATATGCAGTTTATGACGGGTGATTACTGCATGAAAAGTGCCCTTCTGCATCCTGTAAAACTAAAACTATAATATCGGCGAAATTAAACTTGCTTCTGCTTGCTGTGGGAGGATTTCAATTGTAATCGACTTGTATCTGATAGGCATGTGAGGAATAGCGTGATTTGACCATCAAAGGCTGACACAGCTGTTTCCGGGAACAACTTCACTTTGATTCCTACAGTTTTTCACCTTCCACTACGTCTTTTGTGAAGAAAAGTTGACCTAAGTAGCTTGAGATCATTTGAGACATTTACTGGAGGAGATTCCCAACACCATTCACTCGAAAATCTCAAAATGGTGAATTTCCACAGTGAGAGTGGATTGGCGTAGCTTACGGGATCAGCAATGACGTTCTGACGATTCTAAGCTTGGAATGGGTGATGGACTCGAAAATTTGTGGTTGAATTTTTGATCTACCTACCAAAAGGCGCATTAGCAAGGTTGTCCACCGATTATGTAATCCCTGGCCCACCAGCTCAAAATCTGCTTTAGGCAGCCTAATAGTGTACAATAAGGTGCCGACAAAAGTCAAGACTCTCTCATGGTTCGTAATTCAGAATACAAACCGGCGGCGACCCCTGCAGAGACTGCCAATGGAAATCATTCGACGAGGAATGCCCAGCATGCTAGTCATAGTATTTTGGCTTCTGTTGTTATCGTTGAAGGACGGGATGAACCCAGATTTGGCAAAAGTTTCGCTCGTCATCGTTTTCCTCATGGGCAAGCTCTGTCAGCTACAGCCTTCTTATAGCCCAGGTTTTCTCTTTCCAATGCACCAATGGCTCACATACTGAAGATCTCATCTACCCATACACCAACTAAAAGTTTGATTTTGCTGATGCTCTGTAGAATGAATCTGTTATAGAATATACAGAAATATGCGATGTTTTTATTTACACTAAATAACGTCATGGAGAATTTTTACGTGGAAATGGAGGTCATTAGTAAGGTATCCACTCTACTTTATCCATTATAATCCAACTCTCGTATAAAACGGCCTGACCGCTCCCGGCAGCCCCAACAGTCCTGCTTTCAGTTCGATAGACGGTTTGAACTTTTGAAGTGCTCCATATGCCCTAAACTGCCGTCTCCAGTAGCAATTATTTGCAGCTGGAGTTAAATACTTTTCCCTCAAGTTGTCCCAACTATTTGAAAGCACCTTTTCCTCCCAATCTGTCTCTCTCTTTGATAGAAGAGAGTTCATCGCTTCATCTAGGTGTTTCCCAAAGGGTAGACTGACTTGAACCACATTTTGATCTGGTGAGGAATCGTTTCCATTCAAAAGATGATGGAAATGCTGAATGTAGTTTAGTGGGTGCATCACAACGATGCTGCGACATTGCAAAAGATACCTGTCAAAATTCAGTATTAGAAAATGATAGACTCACAGCGGAACGAACAAAACCGTACTTCAGTCTGCCAGAGTAAGACCAACCCTCAGTATGGGCTAAGTACATGTATTCACAATGTTGCGCGGGTGATTTCAAGTCGGTATCCTTGTGTTTCCCTCTTTGGCTATCCTTCACTAGGTCCCAATTGAGGGCTTTCACATCTGCCCAGCTCTTATTTGTGGATACTCCGATCAAATCCTAGAGTATTTTGGACAATTAGCACTCATGATTTCGCCGATTACATTTTGAGGATACCTACCCGTCGAACTTCCACCATCGGAGCTCCTCGACAAAAGAGCTTCGGAATCTTGGATCGGTTCTTAGCTACCATTTCTTCCTCTTATTTCCGAGTTTCTTGTCTGACATACGAATAGGCAGAGACACCAGCTTCAGGCCATGAGAAAAATCCAAAATCCAGTAGAAGCCAAAAGTTCTATGCAAGCAGACAAGTTACTATAGTGGTCGAGATTCTCTGCAAAAGGCCTGAAACGATTACGGTTTCATTTGGACGCCTACTCAATGTCCACGGTGGAAGTGGGTATTCTTGGTTGGCTTTCGGGGGGGAAGTCGCCAATTTGAAAGCTGAATTCAAGGCCTGGCAGTGGTTCTGGCGTTGTAATCACAGCTTTGTAGATAGATCCAAGTATGGCCTTGGCACGATTGCTGTCTGCAGGAGCTTTCTTGATGTAGAGCTGGTTATAGAAGAACATGGAAGTCAATATGGGACAAGACGTGTGATTCCACTCCAAAGTCTCACCTGGTTGTTGCTGATAATAACGTGACCTTCGCCATAGGGGATTGTAGCGTCTACCATCTCCCGAGATATTCCGCCCTATTCGTTGTACCGGTCAAATGCTCTGGCAACCTTGAACAAATCTGGGAAAGCGGTATCACATTCACTATCAGTCATCCAGAGATTTTCGCTCAACGGAATCGTTGACTCCACATCTGATGATTCCAGTGTTATATTCAGAAAGTCGAGTTGTCTAGATTGTGAGAGCAAAGATCTGCAAAATCAAGAGGTTTGATATGAGGAAATTTTCACAGCAACAGTGCAACGTTCGCGTTACTGCTTTACAGGGCAGTGATGATAGCCAAGCACAAACCGCCTATCAACGAGCGAATGACAGGGGTACTCGGTGCCATGGAGGTCGTCATTCCGACGCTAATGATATGTTGGCGTTGGTGAGTGAGGGATGGAAGAGTCGCGCCACGAGCCTCATTGCAAATATTGCACGAACCTGAATCTAAATGCGACAGCCGATAGCGAGGTCCGGTTACTTTATTGAGAGTGTGCGAGTGGATCCCTGATCGTAGCAAAGTGCGTCTCACGGCCAAGCCTCCACTGCCATCTTCGTCAGCAGTTTGCACAACAGCCAAGCCCACACTGCCACCTTTGTCAGCAGTATGCACGACACTATCCCATACGTTGATCAGAGTTTTAGTTTGTACGTCAGAATCTTAGAAGATGAGTTCACATCTTGTGAAATTCTGACGTTTTTAATACTATGATCCAAGCCACAGGTTATTACCACCTTATCTAACTTTGACACTCGAAGTTGATTTGAATTTATATCATACTTTGTCATCAAGAGTAGAGTATTACACGAGAGTTCTGCATTCCAGGGAATTATGCGGCACGATGATGGATGATATTCATCAATATCTAGGAAAATATGCAAACCGCAGGTGCATCCATGACCACCAGAGTGCACTAATGAGCCAATCTAAGCGCCCCGATACGTTCCATAGGGCCCCTTTTGTAAAACCTGTACTTTGTCTGGTGTGTAATCTATTGAGTCGTCCCATGAGCAACATGGAACAAAGGGGGCCTTTAACGTATTCTTCCATGATCCAG